ATATTATTTTAATACCCTTGATGCGGAAATACTCGATGAGAAGTGAAAAACATGGTTAGAAGCAATGACTAAGTTGCGCGATTTCAAGAGCAAATTGGTCATGAAATTGATCACTCAACGGAATTGTCAGTGTTACTGCTGTGTGGGCAATACCTCCATATAACACGGGAGCTGGTCGTGTTTGTTGATGGCCGGAAAGAGGATGCGCCCGGTAGCCAACTCGGCCACTGTACACCCCAGCCCCCACATGTCAACCGGGAAAGATGACATGTGGCCCAGGTATGCCTCTGGGGCAAGGTACGCAGGGGAACCAAAAATCTGTGAACCTGTGAATTACAAAATACAAACATAACCAATATAACCTTTAACAGCAACACACAGGCACGAAAAAACATGTATACAAACACATGTACTCACCCATAGGTCTAGACACATGCACACACAGGTGAAGAGACGCAAACACGTGTGCACACACACAAAAACGTCCCCATATAGCCTTTAACAAATTTATCTGGCATTTGCTTTTAGCGAGCACCTAATGAAGGCCTGAACAACACACACGAAGATGGGTGGCCAGCACCACGCCCAGCCACCTTTGTCTTCTAAACTGGTGGTGCCTAGACACCGCACATGGTACTCATTTATGGCTGAGTCAACCTAGGGGAGGCCCAGGGACTGGTTCAGAGTTCATGAACGCAAATTTACTACAGTCACCAGGATTGTAGTGCTGTCGACTACCCCAACACTACGGTTCCTCACTGCATAAACAAAGAAAAGTTCCCCCGTGTAGCCTTAGACATTGTTGGGGCAGGTGCAATAGGACCACCTATGAAGTCCAAAACGACACTTGAGGGGGTGGGTGGCCTGCACATGCCTTGTCTCCTGAGTGGCATTGTTTACACACACACCAGGTACTCATTTGAGACTGAGTCTACATAGGGGAGCTCACAACCAGTTCAGAAAATCGCCACTCTCACCTGGGTCACCAGTTTCGTATGCAGTGTGCTAACCACTACACTACGCGTCCTTGGAACTGCATACAACCACATTCCATACTCAGCCACACACTCACGACTCACGTTGGCGTCCCACCAAAAAGCTGTTTTCAAAACTCATCATCCGGATGGTCCCTGCCCCAGGCTCTTTAATCGACATGTTCCTCTAGACGATAGGCAGCAGAAGATATTCACATTCAGAGGTCATGATAAATAATGTCACTTGTAATACGCCAATGCCATGCAGTATTCACTCTATCTGGAAGAGAGAGAACCCCGAGGCACGAGGAGGGGCCACAGATGATGTTTCACACCATTGGTGTGATCCACCAACCTGCGGCTCTACAGTGTGGATTACAGGCATGCACAACTATTCAGCCTGCAGCAGATTGGTCATGTAGCAAAATACCACAATAAATATTAAAAGGGGAATCTGAGATGACACGCTTTTGCCAAGGTTATTCATCGCAACTCAAGAGAATGTTTCTGACGGATGCACTGGGGTGCCCTTTCAAATGTATTTAGATGAGATTATTCCAATCTCTAATCTCATATAGAGCACTTTGGGGTGCCCGGCGTAAAGGAGGGCGCTCTTATCATACCTGTATGACGATTGTTACAAGAGGGCCGAAAGGAGCTTGTAGCTGTGAGTGTTAGTTAGGCAGAAGCATGCACATGCATGAAGTTGGTATGCATTCTCATGCGCATGAGCAGCATGGAAACAGGTGGGCAGCTGTCAGGTTAAGCCACAGTTGCTTAATTTCAAAGGTCCTTTTACTGCACGGGTTGTGTCTCCATGTGGGATTTGGGCAATGCTTGTTTCGACAGTCTGCTTTTCTCTAGTGCGAGTCCCTAATAGCAACAAAACTTTAAACTCAAGTCACCATATATAACCCTCTGTACGACAGTTATCATGACCCGCAGCTACTGACAGTTGGACAGAGCAGATGCATTAACGCTTTGATCAATGGGTATAGGTTCTACGAAGACGAGCCCCGAACGGGAACTCAAATTAATGTTGCAGTTGTGCGGAACTGGTGTCCACTCACCGGCTGGATATCCCCATGCACGATTCCCTTTGCATGGAGATGAATGAGGAATTTGAGGATGGACTTGGGAAGAGTCACCATTGTCATCTCAATGTGCTGGGGTGCCGTGCAATCAATGGCATTAACAGACGTCTTCTGTTAAGGAGACAACAACA